GATGATGAGATGAGGGAGGGGTTTTAATTTGTATTGTTTTGTTGGAAGAGTAGGTACATGATTGAGAGCGAGACACTGTATATAAGGAGGAAGGAAATTTCCTGTTCTATTCTATTTATATAAATGTTTTAATTATATTATTTGTGATCTGTTATTTATTGTACACAACAAGCATAAAAGGAACTATGATTCGAAGGAGAAAAAAGGAAAAAGAAAAAACTGGAAAGAGAAATGTTCTTTGTGGCTACTGGCTAAGTTGTGCTGTTTCTTTCTCTCTCTCACTTTTTGACCCTTCACTGCATAAAAAGCATCTCCTTTTTCCATCCCGTATCTCTCTCTCTTCTTTTTTTAAGGGTTAGATTAGATGCGTACTTGAATTAAGAAAATGTGAGTGAGTGTTAAGTTGTCTCGAATAATCTCCATGAATGGAAATGGAATGATATAAATCCCACATGTGAATATTGAATATAATGCATCCTGCAAGAACAAGATATATACAGAATACAACACCAATTCTCCTAAATTTCTGGAGAAATACCATAATAATTATCCATGAAATTCACCTCCCACCAATTAAAAAGCATTCCATCACATCACATCAATGCATAAAACAAGAATTGAAATGTATAGTATTAAACGTAAGAGAAGAGAAGAGGTGAAGTGAAGTGAAAAGGAAGATGGGGAAAAAGTCATCGCTACAGTTACAGTATGCATGAATAAATCCAAATGGGCAATTTCATTTCATTTTCATATTCAATTCAGTAGTCCCCACACCCACATTATTGGCTTGCATAAATCTCTAACATTTAGATTTTGTGCACACCCCCACTTACTTTTTCTTCGAATTCGTTTTTATATTGCAAGAAAATCGGTGCTACGTTCAGAGACCCCAAAGAAAGATCTTAAAGAATCTCCATATCTTTCAATTTTTACAAAATGAATTCCATTTCCCTGTCGACTCGATTGAATATATCAACTCATAAGAAGACACACGAAAACATAATTCTCATGCCAAAAGACTATTTTGGCCATTCTCTCATTTAAAAAAGAAACAAGGGTGCAACTGGAGGATACATTAACATTTAACAAAACATGTGGGGTCTGGGGTCTTAAATATGCTTTACGTGGTCCAATCAAATTGTTGGTAGGTGTTAAAGAGAGTGGCGCGTGGGCTTCAAACATCATCGCGCCTTTACTCTTACTTTACTCAATACAATACAGAAATTGGATTAGGGATTAGGGATTAGGGTTATGGAAAAATGCAATGCCAAGTCCTCCCATTTACATATATTCTGCACCAAATCGGTTCATGCCCAACTCCTCTTTCTTCTCTTCTAATTATACTCGCAATCAAAATCAATTGAGCACGATTGCATACTCAATCTATCAAGGGTTGCAGTAATTATATATTTTACACATTATAGTGAAAAGAAGATTTGGAACAAATTTTCTAGTATAGGATACATAACTTACACAAGGTTACAGCACAAGAGTGGATAAATTTTCAAATCAAAATCATGACTCAGCGTGCCACATTCTTATCTATCATCCAATAAATTCCATGTACCGATCATTGGTTACCTATTTGATATTTCACACAGCAAACAAATCTTCCGAGCTGCGGCTATGATTCATCTTTTCTTCCCCTATAGCATTGCTTCATGTACAGATAAGGGAGAATTACTCATGGCGTCTGACTTAAGCCACATGGATTCTGCTCCATTAGAAATATTAAGAATTGAGAGCCCATGATTCATAAATAAATGAAAAGGCAGGAAGCACTCCAATAGTAAAAGATGGCAAGTGAATTTTGGTTTACTGTTTATGAAATGTATATGCATTGGCCCCGAGGCTCCTGGGCTCACTATAGTTCCTTGTTTTTCTGCGTCTTTTCTTGTGATTCACGAGGGAAGAGAGTCAACAGCTTCATCCTGCAAGGCCAATAAACATGTGCCAAAAAACATTGGCTGCCTAAAGAGATCCAAGCGAATAAAGTTCAAAACATCTCTTTGTTAATGTTTCTCAGGTCTCTCACTTAGACAACAAAGTCATATGCAACACGTCACCAAATAAGCCTTTGCCTAAGATCTTCGTGAAGATTAGTTTCTTTCTTTTGCCCATTTTTTCAACAGGCTGATGTTTTCCCCCTCCCCATTACAATTCCAGAGAGATTTTTTCAGCATTTATTTAACATTTAAACGTCATTCCTAAATCCTCATTGCATTTAGTCACCTACTCTATAGAGCATAATGAAATAATTATTGGATCAGAAATCCGAAGGTTGCCAAACTAGCCTCAGCAACCCATTCTGTTTAACAAATATAGATTATGGGTGAGGAAGATAGCTTACGACAATGTATCAGCAGCATAGAAAATTGGAAGCCTCCCCAGTCCTGCACATTTCCAAGTTGTTCTTTGTGAATAAATATCGTTCTCCGCAACTGAGCCCGTGGCTGTCAGAACAAACTGACAAGCGTATGTTGCAAACAGCAACACACGAAACATAAGTGCATATTGCAGAAAGTGAACATTGGTACAAATTTTAATGGAATTGAGTTTGTGCGTGTGAAGAGAGAGAGAGAGAGAGAGAGAGAGAGAGAGATAGAGAGAAGGAAAATGGTTCAACTTACCAGTGGAAATAGGATAGCCATTACTCCATAGCTCACAAGTGGTGAGAAGAAAAATATAGCAAGAACACAAGGGCTACCTGGAAAGGCCATTAAACAGGTATGCCTCAAACTTCTCAGAACTACAATGTATTGTCACAATTCACAACTACGCAACACTACCATGATAAGAAAAGAGAAATAAACTCAAACTTTAATTAATAGTTAAAGATATGAGCCTTATGCCAAGCACAAAAGTAAAAGGACTCTAAAAAAGGAAATAAAAGCAAAACATAATGATAAAGAATTTCAACACCATCAGAACATCTCTCGATGTTTACTTACAGAACACCATTGCACACAATTATTACAAATTTGTTCGCTGAAGAGTTAAATATTACCTCAAAGAGCCAAGACATGCCACTTGAGAAATTATAATCGTGCTTGTCTTAACTTAGGGAGTGAGACAAGCCAAGAACAAAGAAACCCTAAATTGTACAGAGATGACAGCAACATATGGATAAAATCTCACGTAAATCAGGGAGAACTTGGAAACAACCCCTTGAGTCAAGCTCGATGTTAAAATTCTTAACTCTTCTCCCTTTTACCCTCCCCTCCACGAATTTATAGTATTCCAACCCATAAAGTAACAAACTTAGTACTTCTCCCAAGTCCTAACAAAACAAACTAACTCAATAGCTAACACGCTGACAAACAACCAAAAACTTACTACCAACCTTGATATAATAGGGAGATGCTTTGGGTCAAAGCGAGCATAGCTTAACGGTAATTGGCATATATCTCCAACCTAAAGATTGTGAGTTCGATCCCCCATTCTCACATATTGTATTAAAAAAAGGGGGGATGCTTTGGTATTATTTAAGAGCATGATTTCCTTGCTAATCTCGACCAACAGAAAACTAGCAAATTATTGCAACTAAAACTAAATAAATCAACAAGTCAAGGAGCCTTACCAAAACCAGCAAAGAAGGCCCAGTTGGACTCGAAATAGTCCAGCCTTCTATCAAGACTCACTTCTGAAAGGTTCCACTTGTACCTAACAAGTTAATTAATTGAATTGAATAGTTCACCAAGTAAATAGTTGATGCACAACATAAATTATAAGGGAAAGCACCACATACTCAAAACAATAGTAGGCATACATCCAAGAAAGAAGCAGAAAATTGAGTGCCTTTCCCACGAAAGGCAAGAGCCCTGTAGCATAGACCTGCATGTATCAGAAAACAAGACTATTTCTAAGAAATGGACACACTAGAAGAAATTGTGTGTATATAACTGCAAATAAGCATTCGGATTTTACAAATGCTCACAATAAAACAAAGACAATCATACATAATGAAATAAAATAAAATGAAACAAATATAACAGCATCAGGGGAATAAAATTTCAAAGTTATTACCTCGAGGAAGAAGGAGTTGATCAGAAGTAAAGAATATAGCTGCTCTCCTATTCCTATTACGACCCTGAGAAAATTTTTATGTCAAACAAGTATTAAACAAAAAAGTGCATCATACAAGCAGAAAATAACATTTAAGAAATCATCAATGACCAAGTTGAAAACCTACTTCCCCAATCCGATTGATCTTTCAGTTTGAGCTGTATTGGAAGATACGGGGTCCACCACGATTGGCTCAGATTGTCCCATTGCAGCAAAGCCATGTCTGGCAATATCATTGTACCTGGACTAAAAAACTCTTTAGAAAATTCAGACCAAACAAATAGTTACACTGAACTATTAATGGAAGTAGAACTTTTTCCCTCTGGTTGTAACAAGGGTCGCATTTGCACCAGAAATTTAAATTTATAAGTTAGTGGACGAATTGTTTAGATATAATGTTATCATAAAATGATAAAATTCAAAAATTCAAGTATGGAACCATGTGGCTCGAGGAGTTCATAAGTAATAATAAACTTGTAACCGAAGTTGAGGCAGAATAGATAAAACAAATGTGATAACACATTTATAGAAGTAGAACACTTTCCGCTGCGGTGTGTTCTTTGCGGAGGAGATCGGAGGATCTTGACCACATCCTGTGCTCTTGACAGTTCGTGCAGGACTTAAGGGATCGTTTTTGGGTGTTTTGGGGTGGCTTCAGCTCGTAACAAGGATTGTAGAATGATGATGGAGGAGGCTTTGTGTACCTTTTCGGGTCAAAGGAAGGTTTTTGTGGGAGGACTGTTTCTTGACTACTTAGTGGGGCATTTGCCTTAAGAGAAACAATAGAATTTTTAGAAGGTAGAGAGATTCATGGAGTGTGTTCACAATCTTATTAGATTTAGTACTTTTTTGGATCAATTTCTAAGGCGTTCATCAGTTAGGAGTTTTCTTTTGAATTGGAGCCCCTTTCTCTAGAGGATTTCCTCTTGTCGGGCTATTTTTTTATATGCCCTTTTATAAATTATAACTTTTCATTTCTCTCAATGAAAGTTCGATTGCTTATCAAATAATAATAATAAAACAAATGTGAGAAAGTTAGAGCAAATAGAAGGGAAAGAAGTACCAGATATTGCTCAGAATGAAGCTGAAAATGTACAATGGATAAAACCAGAACAACTGCAAGCAATATTCAAATCAACAATCAGTAAGTAAAAAAAAAAAGAAGTTTTAGATAAACTGTCACAAAAATAACTAAAGATGTTATCCAAGGTTCTCTAATGAATCATGTTCTCATTAATCATTATATATAATCCAGTTAAGTACAATAATCATAGTTTGCAACCATATTGTGTCCTGTCAAGCCGAAACTATATATTCCATAAGAATATTACTGAGCTCACAAAAAGGGAAGTTCATACGCATAATTTTAAATGTGGTTGGCCTTTTACAATTAACTTTAACAGCAAAGATTGTAGGAAAGGTTTAACAATCTGTGATGCATGCTGGTGAAACAGCTACTTAATTAGCTCCAAAAGTAAAAAATCATGGCATCAAATACGTACTTACATAAAACAGGTGTATCAGTCCAAGACGTAAGAAGGAATATAATTTTAAGGTACCACCAAATACACCCAACTGGTGAGAATTAATCATTGAATGCTGATCAGGTAATATCCATTGTAGAGTTGGGATGACGACTGAATTTAGGATCAATAAACTGCAAAAAAAAAAAGCATGAAAGATTTTTAAGTTTATGTGGCACGCATGAATCTTAATTCGTAAGTACACTGTCTAATATTTGGAACCAAAAAAATAAAAAATAAAAGGATACAGGGAAAGTGCTGGTGAAAACTAGATGATATGTCAAAAGTTAGTTTCAACAGCAACGAAGCAAACTACTACAGTTATTTTCTACATAAATGTAAAAGAATGGACCCGTTTGAGCATAATGACAGAACATGTGATAGACATACAACCAGCTCTAGAGAGAGAGATAGAGGAGAGAAACTGTAAGGAAGAGAGTCCAGGAGTAGGTTCCTGACTCAGTTTAATTGGACCAATGCCCAAGAGCCTAACTTAGTATTTGTTAGAGCCATATTAAATTTTTAGAACAATATCTGTAGAAATTGTTAAGATGCAAACAAAGTTCCATATCAATTAAGGGAAGCAATATTGTGAGTTCATAATTATAATATCCCCATTGTATAAGGCCTTTAGATAGAATTTGTAAAAAAGTTCATATGGGTTTGAGTTCGAAGTATGAAACAGCATCCCAATGTGGAGATAGAAAGGGTGCATATATTCCTATAACAGATAAACTAGGCCGTTCTATCCTATTATGATTCATTACTACATGTTACTATCTTATGGGGGGGAAGCCGTACTCAACAAGTTCTTCAAGAGCGTAATTCAGATACACAACAGAAAACCGACCAACAAAGGAAAATTGGATGTTTATCTCAAACGGGGAAGTGGGAACAAGAGAAAATGCCATATGCGAAAAATAATGTCTCGGGCTGGAACAATAACGATTGTATTCAAATGAACGAGAGAGAGGGGGGGCGGAGGAGAATTACCTTCCTAAGAAGATGAAACCATTCAATAGAAAGCATTGGCCCGTTCGGGTCAAAAGCTTCTTCGACCTGAAATTCATTTTCATATGATGATCATAAAAATAGTAAGTAAAAAGAACTGAATGCATTCTATGGTATGAAGAAGCAGATAAATTCCTTTTCTTTCCACGGTGATTGCAAGTTGCAACACCTGAAGAAGGCTTCTTGGCCGCAAAGGGGGGAAAACCGTAACAATCCAGTAATATCATATCAGCAACAGAAAAACAAAGTGTGGGTCAAGTGGAGGAATCGAGATGGCACCTGCGACAGAGGATCACAACACGGTGAAGACAACAGGCCTCAAGAAAACCATCAAGCCATAGTCGAGAAGCCCTTTTCAATTTTTCTCCGAGAACCTTAATCAATGGTTCAGGAGCTTCCATCGTTAAAATGTAGAGTAGAGAAAATCAGAAACGCGACAATTCAGTCGATCGAAGCTCCCTCAAGGTCGAAGTCGAAGATGGTCAAGAAAGATTAACTAGTTCGCTTCGCATCGAAGTTAAAAATGAACGTCGTGTCGTGGTGGCGTGGGGCGGGTAAGATCTTATCAAATAAAATATTCTTCTTTAATCTCGAATAAATTGTTTTTTTAACTAATCAAATCCAAATGGAAATAAATGCACTTAGTTTATAAAAATTAAATCTATATTAAAATTAAATCTATATTTCGATGGGGCGAGAATCTTTGCCTTACATTTTTGCCCTCCACTTTTTAATAAATACCTATTTGTGTTCCTTCACATATGTGTGCGATTGAGATTGATAATTGTTTATATATAATATAGTAGATCGATGTATTTTTTTAGATAGATAAGTTAATCCAAAATGTGTGATTGATGAAATGATATATTCATTCCCAAATAGGTGTGATTACAAATATCTACATAACATGAAAGAAAACACCATCCATAAAATTGTGTATTTTTTCCTTCTCAAAATATTTATGAAGGCTTTTCTCTTGCAATAAAAGATTTCCGTTATTTGCCACAGAAACGCAAAAGATTCCAAAATTCATAAGTTTATTTGATTGATGATGAGGTAGAGTATAAAATTACATTTTTATATTAATATATTAATGATTTATTTTAGTTTATCAATGTTCGTATTCTTCGTAATATAGACTCTTGATTGCTGCTGTATATGTCTTAACTACTTTTAAATTCCTTATTTCATGTTTATTTTTATGTTTATGTCTTTATTAACTAACTTGAATATTTAACCATGAATATTTATTACTTGATTTGTTAAATTAATTATTTACATATTAGATTATTGTATTAGTGTTCATATTATAAGGGTTTTTGTTTTCCTATTTTGCCATTTAAATTTTCAAAAATTTATTGACAATAGCAAATTATTCAGATAAATATGTTCGTTGAGAGAAGTTAATCAATTAGATGTTAAGTGTTATAATCAAATGGTAGAGATATATCTATGGAGGAGAATGTATATTTCTTATTTTGCCTTTTAAATTTTCGTAAATTCATATTTTAGTTTTAACATCATTTTTAATATATTTGGAAAACAAACCTTTCACATGCACTTAACGTGATTATTGCTAGTAATTGTTGCTAGTAATAATAAAGAAGAACCGCTATACTTGTCAACTCCAAGAGTATAAACTGAAAATTAATAAGTTGTCTCTTTCAAATAAAATTTATAAAATTTCGATCAATTCAGTTGGATTTTATTTAGCGGTTTCAAGCAATTTCTGTTGAGGTATCTATTTGATTTTTTTTTTTGAGGGGTGTATTTGATTTTTTTTTTTTAAAAAAAACAATTTCAATTCTTTTTTTCTTGTACTGAAATGTCAATTTTGGGCATGATCGACTCGAACCAACCTGCTGTGCTCACTGCTCACACCTCTAATTGCCATAGTATATATTTAATGACACTACAGATAAGTGCATTAATTAATTTAATAGATGCCACAATACCGATGTGGCTAAAAACCAATAACAGCAATATAAAGGTAATGCATTAGCACTAGACTAGAACATTTTCCAATTACGACATGTCGAGTTATTTTTTTAATGGGACGCCACATCTCAGCTTGCTTCTGGAAACGACACTCATTTCCTGCTTCAAAATTCAAATGGAGTGAAGAAAAAAGAAGCTGGAGTGGGACTGAGGAAACTGTCAAACATGTATCCTTTTATGACCATTGAACCCAAAATCTATAAGCTGATATCTCTCAAATTGGTCTATTTGTAAATAAATGGCTGTAGAATTACAATCCTGTCCGTATATGGGGAGAGAATTTGTATGCACAATGAAACTGCTGTAACAGTACAACAGAAGGGGTAAAGAAAATCTATGGGAGACCCCTCACTTCTATAATAGTTTAAAGAATATGATGAGATTGAGATTGAGATTGAGAAGGCTCAAAAGAGGAGTATCTTGTCATATCATTCATGGCAACCTCATGGATTCTTGTCGTCTTAGAGGTATACCTTCCAAACCGTTATATCCATCCTCATCCATGTGCTTGGCAAGTCGTATCGGTGAAGATGTCGATAAACCTGTATAATATGAAAACGGAACACCGGTTCTAAAGTAAGAAGAGACATGCAAAAACAGTCCACATTCACAACTGAAACCCAGTGGATAAGTCATGTTTTATCCAGAATATCATTGCCATTTGCCAGCCAACGTCTGAGTAGAATAATATAAAGGACATACCATCAACCATGTCCTTCGTTTTGTGAAGAAGAAAGGTTCCTGAAAGAATAGTCACAAATCCACACAATTCTGTGATAACTTGCGTTGGGCTCTGCCTATCCCAATCCTGAAAGTGAACAAGCAGTTTTTTTCAGGGTTGGTATCCATATCCATATGATGAACAATAGTAAAGAGTCGAGCGCAGTTCTAGACAGTCAAAAAACACATAAATATGTTGCAAATGATGCATATATTTGATCCACAAGCTCATAAAAGAACATAAATCAATCAAGGACAAAGACTGATAATAAACATTCACAGCTCTCTTTTTCACCCGTTCCCGTTGAGAAGTACATCATCACAAGTGTATTAACTACCAGTTGATTGCTGAAAAACTGTGGGATCATGTTATGAATATACCTTAAACATGATAACACTTGCCAAAATGGTCAGTGATGTGAACATCACGTAGTAAATGGGAGATACAACAGCAGTGTTAAAAGTATCAAGCGCCTGAAATGGAGAAGGAGAAGAAAAGGTAAACAAATATCGTAGGTGCTTTAGTAAATATTTTCTTCTTCCACATTAAATTATCACATCAAAATAGGTACACAAAATTTGAAGTTGAATGTGCCAAAAGTTGCATGCAAAAAATGGTAGTGCAGTAAATTATCAGTCAAATTGTAAACTGTATTTCCTATGCTATGGCTGGATGATTCACTAGCTGTTAAGTTCATATAAACTCTGTAGGATTAACAATGAAGATGAAGAAAATCGATCTCTCAAAGACAGAAGCAGTGAAAGGGAGAAAGAGATAGAGAAGCTGGAGAGGAAAGGAGAAAGAAAGAAAGAAAGAAAGAAAAAGGCACAATTACCTTGTTCAGATAATTCATCTGAGTAAGCAAAAATGTGGTTACAATTATGGCAAAAATCCAAGTTTGTGGATAAATTAGCTGGTTGACTCCAGATAATGTCAACTTCATGGCAATTCCAAGAGCTTTAACACCCATAACCTGGCATATAACATTTGCTTTTTCCTAACCATGTACAATGGATGTAATGGAAATGAAACATAATCAGCAGGTTACAAAAAACACAGCATACTTACCGACAAAGAACCTAATAGGGAACAAACTCCGATGTAAACCATAATGTGTGTCTGGCCATATTGAGGTATAAAGTGGAATATAAGTATAATCACCAAGGTTATGACCAGAGTTGCATACAAGAGAAAAGCTGCCACGGGGAGAGTAACTGTTGTGATCTTTTTTTAACTCTATGAAACAGGAAAAGAAAATATTGTATTGAAGCAGTTGAATCCAAGCAGTATGTTTTTACCTGGTTCCATTGCCATTTGCCAAACTTCTGCCACAGATTCTATTTCACGCTCTCGAGGAGCATGGAGAACAATGGCCGTGGAACCCACCACACATAGAATACAACCAAGAACTCCAAAAATATGTAACTTCTCCCTTAAAATGATATGTGCAAGAACGGCACTGTAAGACACGATAAAATTAGCATTGAATTCAACAAAACCGAAGATTTAGTTTGAGTGATCTTCAGCCATGCCTTATTATTATGCTGAGAGCTCCAAGAGGAGTGACTAGTAAGGCTGGTGCAAATGCATACGCCACAAAATTAGCAATTTCTCCAACAATCACTGTTGAAATTATAGTGATCCATCAGATCTAAATCCAACTTCATTTTTCAACTAAATTCGCACAACGTTAAATAATTCATTTAGTAGATGGTTGGATTGCTTTTGAAGTTCTTCTATAACTGTGGTAAAATCCATAAAATCTTATTGATCAAGGAGACGAAAGATGTTATAGAAACTCATTTGGAATCCCCAATTATCACTGAAAAATTGACATATCTTATAAACAATAAACAGTAGACAATCAAAGGAACTTTCAAGAAGCAATGTTTCCATGGGTTTCGGAGTACAAATCAGTTACTTCTGATGCGTTTATTTTAGCCACATGAAAGTATTAATACTGTTGTGATTCACATCTCAGACATCAATGACCAATCACATAGAGGTGTAAAACTCACTTGTTATCATGCCCAACCACCACAATGGCTCGTACAAGTAAGTAAATCCACCCGCTCCTGTAAGGAATCAGTCAGCGAAATTATAACAAAACTGAAAGAAACCAAGAAAATCCCCAAACAACGTGATTGATTACTGACTGTGCAAATAACAAAAAGTACAACGAACTAGAAGAGTGGGCGGATACTTAAGGAAGTTGATATGGTGGGAAGTTGTTAGCAGATTTAACGATTCCCCCTAGAAATTACTCATATTCGCAAGATTTAGACGGAAAACTGATGTCGCCGAGCTCGAACGATATTCATTTCCCATACCACCCAATTGGATGCGGATCAACATGGGCAAATCTCTATTAACTCGAGCCAGTGACTTAAATTGAAGATAGCAGAAGATCGTTGGACGGCAATCCATATTGTAAAATACATTAAATCGACGCCCATGTTTCCATATCCGATCAAAAGATGCTTAGATTTAAAAATAGAAATCGAACGCAAACGAATCTCGGGAGAAATTTAAACAAAAGAACACCCTCCACCGCAGCCACATTGCATACCTGCTCTGATTCCTGAGGCACCGGCTTTCTTCAAGCCCTTCTTCTTAACAATGAAGCTCCCACCAATGAAGACGCTGGAAGAAAGTGCAAGTATGAGGCCTTTGATGTTATCGGTAGACATGCCATCGTGCCAGCTCGGAGGCTCGGCCGCCATGGCCGAGGAAACGGGAGAAAGTAGGTTTGGGGCCGCGACGAAGTAATAAGTGGCTAGTTCACCGGCAGGAGGTCGTAGTTACCCACTAACAGAAATGGAGGTGGGTGTAAATGGAAAGTGAAGATGGAGCGAAAGATCAAAAGAGCGGTGGAAATTAGGAGGAGGATGTTGAAGTTGAAGTTGAAGGTGGCAATGTCGGCGCTTATAAGGGAGGCCCCTGTGGGGAAGGTATTGGGATACTGGAACTGGATACAGCTGTGGGCGCAGGCGTTGCTTGGATTGGATCGGAAGGCCGAGAGAGAGAGAGAGAGAGAGAGAAGCGGAGAGATTTTTCTCCCCTCAAAATCAAATCGATAATTTTAACAAAATTAAATTAAAATTTCGAAAATGTGTGGACTCTACACTACGCTACTCGGGCTTGGACTGAGACTGGGAGCGGATTAGAAACTACACGACGCTGACAGAATATTTAAAACTATAATTATTTTAATTCCCCAACTATTTCTCCTTTTAACCTAATCTTCCTACTTAATAAATTCTATTCTATAAGTATAAGAGATGGAAACTTCAATGCTTTTCTTCCCGTGCAAATTAAATTTTACTAACTGCTGCATTCCATCCCATGCCTTCCCTGCACCGACCACACCACCCATACTTTACCCAGGAAATCAATTTTAACGAGCAAAATCCACTTTTACTCCAAATTTTCAATTTTATCAAATTGTAATCTAAATTTTGGTAGTTGTTGCAATCTTGCGGATCCAAGCATAGTTAATAGATATGTTTTTACCTAAAATATCAAACATTACCAATATTAATCCTTACCTACATAACTGTTGCAATCTTTACTTAGATTTTAAAAATGTTGCATTTTTCACATTTTAATAGAGTTTTCATCTAATATATCATTGAAATAAGTTGTTCCAATAAATTGTAAAACACATATTTGATATGAAACTAATAAGCTTTAAAAAAAACTACATTACAAAGAGTGTTCCTTTTCCTTTTATTTGTAAATTCTCCCTGGGTCAAATTTGTATTAAATTTAATTTTGAAGTTTGATTTTTTTGGTTCAATTTGTTGAGTTTTTTATTTATTTTTAAACCGTGGGAATTGAGTGGATTGTAACATTTATTTGAACACTTAACTAAGTTTATACCTTCATATTGGATAAAATTGAAAGTTTGCATTGAAAATTTATACAATTTACGAAGTCTATTTTTTTTAAAACATACAATTTACCAATTTTATGGGTAAAAGTTGATTTTTTTTCCCTTCTTATTGAAAATTATCATCATCCCAATGGCTCAGGCTCATGATTGGATCTCCACTTTGGTAATGGTTAAACGGTAAAAGGTAGAAAGGATTCCATAAAAACACAAATTTTAATCAAGACGGAGAGTCTAGGACTAGCATAAATATATAAATAAATAGAACAAATATATTAAAATTTTTTGGCAAGTGATGGAGTGAAGCTTGATTCCCACCCCCGAAGTCCTTTTTTTCTTTTTCTTTTTCTTTTTTTTGTTCTTGTGGCAACAAAAAAAAATTGCATAGTATATTTTTTGGGAATATCTGAAACTACCTTTGAGAAGAAAAAAATAATATCCGAACAACGAAAGATCGCCTGCGAATTGCAACGGCTGCGACGCGAAATAAAGTAGAGGTGATTGTGATTTGTGAAGCAACATAGTTCTCATAGTTTGACTTCGATCTCATTCCCTATTTTGGTTATCAATTTCACCTCAAGCGCCAAAGTTAGGACTGCTGATCGAACCCCTTCATTTCAATTTCATTTCAAATTGTAGGGTTTCATTCATCCCACAAAGCTCTGAAAGGGAGCTTGTTTGAGCTTTACCGTCGACGCGGATATACTTTCAATACATAAACCGCACCGATTCCGCGACTGCCCGAACGACCCAGTACCAGAGAATTGGAAGTGTGGAGATGTGGACGTTCACAGCGAATTTTCAGCAATGTCCGACCTCCTCGATTCCTTTCATTTCCATAACCTCACGTTCTTCGTATGTTCGCGTTTGTTCGAAGCCGACGCTCACCTGCTCCGCCTTTAAGTCTCAGATTGAGACTCTTAACGGAACCACAGACGGGAGGGTGTCTGAGAGAACTGAGATTCGATTTGGGTTGCCCAGTAAAGGCCGGATGGCAGCCGACACCCTAGAACTTCTCAAGGTACATTCTTCTGCATCCCGGAAGTTTGTTTTATTTTGTTTCAAGGAATCGGGAAAACAAGTTATTGCCATTTGCCACTAAACTCTTCCAGTTGTTTGACACCTTTTTACTCTGGCGTGACAGGATTGTCAATTGTCTGTAAAGCAAGTCAATCCTCGACAATATGTTGCAGAAATTCCACAGGTACTTGCTACTATTTCACTCCACTTGACAAAGGAACTTCACTTTTAGCAATCAATCCATTTGAAGAATTCTGCTTACGTTCTTGTTTATTCTTCTTGTCACTCCATAATGGTGCTTTTCTTAAATCCTCCCGGACCATTTATTTATTCATTTTGCTTTGTAACAGCTATCGGGCTTGGAAGTCTGGTTCCAAAGGCCTAAAGACATCGTTCGGAAACTGTTATCCGGAGATCTAGACCTCGGCATCGTGGGTCTCGATACAGTGAGCGAATATGGACAAGTAAGGGTCTTAGAATATAATGTTATTGGTTTCGTGGCACGCCACGGCGCCCCTTTTGCCCAACTCCTGAATTGGCTCTTTTTTCATTATTTCCAGAATAAAATTTTCTTTTACGTACTTGCAACCATTATGTAGAGAAACAACCAACCAAAATGTTATTGCTTCCAATTGTTATTCTTTCCCCACAGGGTAATGAAGATCTTATCATCGTTCATGATGCCCTTGAATATGGGGATTGCCGTTTATCGCTTGCTGTAAGTTTTTCCTCTCTTGATATCATCCACATTGATTGATTTATTTATATATTATTATTTTTTATAACATCACGAGCTTTTAAAAAATTATGTTATGACACCGTCAACTGATCCTCTCAAATTAGATACCCAAATATGGCATTTTCGAGAATATAAATTCAATATGGGATCTAGCTCAGATGCCCCAGTGGACTGCGGAGAAGCCTCTTCGAGTTGCTACTGGATTTACTTATGTATGATTTTCCTCATTATCCGTCACATCCCTGCTTCTTTTTCTTTAAGTAAATAGTTTCAGCTTGGAGTTTAAACGTGGAGTACTAATTGGATAAGTTCAATAATGTCATTTTTCTCAGCTCGGCCCCAAATTTCTTAAAGAGAATGGGTTGAAACATGTCTGTTTTTCAACTGCTGATGGAGCATTAGAAGCTGCCCCTGCGGTAATTATTCTTGCTGAAATGCAGAGTTTTTGTCTTGAGTTGGTTTCTGATTTCCACTATGTTTGTGAGCTGCTAGTGTCGGATTCAATGCATGACCTGACAATATTGCCTCTGGAAAACCTTCAAATTTCCTTATAGGTTCCAGATAAGTTTTAGTAATAGTTGTTTTTTGGATAAAGGACACCGTGTTCTGAAAGTATGTTATCATTGTAGGCCAGGCCACGTACATTCATAGTTCGAGTGAAAATGTCAGCAAAAGAATGCTTTAAAATGACCAAGTGAAGATAGTTACTGTTGCACTCTATACAAAATTTCTTCCTCCTTTATGTATTAGCTACTTCAAGAATATGCATCATGTGTGTCCCAAATAGCTCACATTTGCCTTGTGCAAGATTGTTTGGTTAAATAGGTGTACATTGGCCAAACTTTCAGCCGTGAGGAGGCCTTTTTTTTTTTTGGATAAGAGACGATTATATTAACAAAACAAAAGCAAAGACGAGACAATGTAAGGGCAGGAGATGAGAGAGCCCCCTCCCAACAGAAATTGATACACTAGCGCTTTCAATCCTTTAGAATCAAGGATAAGTTATAATGACAAAAATAATCCTTGTGTTTCAGGCACCAAAGAGATGTCGTAAGCTGTACACCATCTATGAACCTGTCAAAATGAGATACATTTCCTTCAAAAACTCTATTTTATGTTCTCTCACAACATTCACGAAAAAGCTCTAACAGCACACTTCCATAATGTCTTAGCTTTACCATTTAAAAGCCATATGAACGACACTTCGTTGAGCCACCCATCAATCGACTTGGACTTACTGCAATTAATATCAAAAGCTTTAAGCAGAAAGTCCAGCCGTGTGGAGACATAATTAGGGTCTAAAGTGTAACTTCTGAAAAGCATTGCAAGCTGGGATGAAAATGCATTTACTATAGGTAGAAATGTTCCTGATGCATTATCCCCTTGTTTTCAGCAAGGAAAGATTAATTAGGTCAAAAAATTCCAGCTACTAATGTAAGAATTAAGATGTCTGATACTAAGAAAGTTAATGCCAATTCCCTGATAGAACTTTTCAGATCCATGGCTGAAGAAGACATGGTTATCTGGATGACCTTTACTGCTCAGCAGTATACCCTGATAGAACTTATAGAACCATGTTTTCCCCTTATAAATGCAGATGGGGATAGCTGATGCTATTTTGGACCTTGTAAGTAGCGGGACCACGCTGAAGGAGAACAATTTGAAAGAAATTGAAGGTGGAGTGGTTTTGGAAAGCCAGGTAAACTTCTGGATTGGTTTCTGTCCATAGCAAGCCTTTGTTCTTGTAGAACTGAGAATCCTTGGAGAAGCTTGTCATTGGATAATTGTTTAGGTTCTCTCTATATCAGATGTTATCTTACTACAAAGATTATGCTTTCTAGGCTGTTCTTCTTGCCAGCCGAAAGTCCTTGATTCAGAGGAAAGGTGCATTAGACACAACCCATGAGATTATTGAAAGACTGGAGGCACATTTGAGGGCTGTTGGTCAGTTCACGGTGAGTCCAGTTCCCGTGTAACTTATGACCGATATATTTTTTTCTTTTCCTTCTGAGCTTGATATTCTCATACTCGAACACTATCAGGTGACTGCAAACATGAGAGGAAGTAGTGAACAAGGAGTTGCCGAGCGTGTTTTAAGTCAAACATCATTGTCTGGGTTGCAGGTGGAAGCAATTCCTTCATTACACACACACCGGCCAATATAAAAGGGGAAAAATAACTATTCTTTAGAAAGTGAACATACATTCCTGTGTATAATTTTTTTTTTTTCGGCTTTTCGTTTTGGTTATCCATACAGGGCCCTACTGTAAGTCCAGTTTTCTGCAAACGTGATGGGAAGGTAGTAGCTGATTACTATGCCATTGTCATATGTGTGCCCAAAAAATCCCTGTACAAGTCGGTTCAGCAACTGAGAGCAGTAAGCCATTAGCTTTTGTCTTGAACAATTATTATCTACAAGTTATAGAAACAGTATTCCTAACTACATCTCTAGTATAGTGCTTTATCAATTGGCTTAGCACACACATGACACCATTTATAGTTTCTCACGTGGAAGCAATTGGTGCAGATTGGAGGAAGCGGGGTTCTAATTTCGCCGCTGACGTACATTTTTGACGAAGAAACTCCGAGATGGAATCAACTTCTCCAAGAACTCGGGCTGTAGTCGTTACAATTAGTTACGTAGTGCATGAGTTGTTATATTAAGAGATTCTAGAAGGCGTCCTGTTTCTGGTGACCCTAGAAAGAGTACCTACCTTTCTCTTCCTTCCACAGAACCAACGAACTTCAGTTATTTATGTGTAATCCTGAAACAGATTCTCTGTGCAGTTTTTATTTCATTTTTTCCCTCGCGTCCTTTTGCCTTCAGAAGTATATAGTAGTGTTAATTAAGGACTGTGTTCTGTTTCTCTCTTTTTTTCTGGAGGGTGGGAGGGGGATTTGGTTCTCTGAAATTATACCTTAAATTTTCTTAGTATTCTCAATATTGACTTTCTTGGATTGGTCGTCTCACAGTCACCGACTAATTCAATTTCTTTGGAGCAGAAATACGTGAACACAGAGAATTGGAGGGTAATGCAAAATGGTTATCCAATGGTTTGTAAAAAGAACACATGTTACTTATGTTCTTCTGTCGTCCATCTTATTAGTTAGTGTCTCCACTAGTTGTAGGGCAAAGCAAGGCCCATGAGACGCTTATCTCTAATTGAATTTATTAGTTGGTGTCTCCATTAGTTGTAGGGCAAACAAGGCCATGATGCTCATGGACCGCTTATCTCTAATTGAATTTTCTTTTCTAAGGGGCCGTTTGCATGAATTAAGTTCTCTCTTAGAGTGGGTATGATTTGTAAATGGAAATGGAACAATTTTATGCATGATTGACAAAAAATACAAGTCAGGTGGTAAGAAATTCAGTGGTATTATTGGTTAGTCTAGAAACTGAGGATATCACATTGCTTGTGTCTCAAATGCAGGAGTAATGGACTGCAAAATTCACCCCAAGGCAGCCCTGGTTATTTACTGCTGGCGCTGATTCAGTGATTAAACCGTACTGTCATTGAGAAGATAGGTCTTGGCACCTGTTGTTTTAGGTGAAAAATTCAAATTTTGGCTGTTCTTCTGTTCAATATTTTCACAGTTAATCCATCAACGATTATACATGAACAGAAGCTAGGCCATTCATTGTAATCCATAGTTTAAAGGGATGAGTTTATCGAATTTTCCAAATTATTTGTTCCCTACTTGGAAGGCAAATCATAATTTAGAAATTGTTCACGAGGCTACCTTCTTGCATGAGATTATCTTATAACAGCAACAATTCAACCATAAACCATATACAAATTGTAAGAGAACCTATTATTAAGCAAACTGAGTAACGAAAAACTATACACAATCTCTCCAAGAAATGGTGTGGTGCATCACAAATTCATTATGCTTGCAAGTTATTAAATTAAAGCATAACATTATGACAAAAGTTGAACTGCCGCTATTGCTGGTATCTTCTCTCGCAATTTCTGTGTAACAGCCACACGAACTGTCATGACCCCAGCGGCTGGCCCTGTGATCCTAACTTTAACTATTGGCTCCTCGATACCCACAAGTTCAAGAGATCCCCCGGCTGCCCCAACAAGGTAAGGTCTTATCTCCTCAAGTACCTAAGAAAAGAAAATTCACCTTCTGAACTCTGAACTCGTAAGTAAATCTAAACCGAACTTATTCCATCACAACTCTACAAACATGAATGACTATGAATTCGTCTCCAATATTACATGGAGTTTAAAGATCTCCATCGTGATTTTAACAATAATAACAATGGAACTACAACCAATCTTAGTTCCAAGGGTGAGATGGGACAAGTCACCATGGAATGGAAACACATGGAGGTTAATAAGCAAGCAAGATTCAAAGGTTTTGATGAAATGACGCAGGCATCGTCTAATACAACACCAAGTAGCAGTAGCACATGGATGCACTTAATTGATATTGCTATAACGAATGGAAGGAAGATGCAATTATGACATTAGAAGTATATACAATTATGACAAATGTTGTTTTGTCAACACAACAGTATCCAAGAAACTGAAAAAGGCCATATTAGGGTAGAAACAACATTTACTTAATGATTTTTTTTAATAAGAAACAACGATTTAATTGAGAATAATGAAAATAGATACAAAAAGAACAAGACGGGCATACAAAAAGACAGCCCTGAAAGAGGGAACCCCTAAAGAAAAGGGCTCCAATCCAAAAGAATGATGCCTAACTGAAAATTACAAAAGACCTTTGTGACCGACCCGATAAAGAAGTAGTAAATCTAATGAGATCCCAAACTCATTTACTTTGTGATTAAAGCAATAGTAATCATATATATCAAACTAACCAGCAGGCCGCACTAATAGTGAGTCCAATTTCCATCTCCAGGTCGGAGACTGCAGGTAGGTGGCAGGTGGGTGTATAAAGCAAAAATATGAGATTGAGAAACGAAGGACATAATCATATGAGTTAGTGCATCTATCTAAATCATCATACCGTCGAGGGAAAATGAACATTTACCTTCTCTATATTGTCCTCATTGAGCTCCAGTCCAGTTTCTTCGTCTGCTATTGGTTCCACTGCAACTATTTCTGGGATCTTCTCCATCAAACGTCGTTCGATTCCCATCTTCATAGTCATAACAGAACTTGGACATGAGCCGCACGCTCCTTGTAGCTTCAACCGTACAACATTTCCGTCTATTTCATGTAATGCCACATTTCCACCATCTGCAATAAGATATGGTCGAACCTCATCCAACACACTCTCAACATTCTCGGCAGTCAGTGGCAATTCCAGTGCCGAATTGGAAGTTGCAACCGCTCTCATAACTGTCACCAGCAAATTTCGAATCAAACCACAAAGATTACTGGTCAGTAAAAACGCTCGGAAAGAAAGAGGTAGGTGGGGAGGGGACAAATTATGTATGCATCCGCTTCGTTCCAGCATCGACAACTAATCGCATATCTACCCTAACAGTGAGCAATTAATTTAAGCGATGATGGCAAACAAACATCCCGATAGAATCCACTCCAAGTTAAAAAAAGAAAAAGAAAAAGGAGATCATACCTGGCCTGCGTGAGTTTGTAGGCAATCGAATTCGAAAGGAGCGACACGATTTCCGCCAGAGAGGGGTGCGCTCTCTTGAGGGTGAAACATGGCTAAGGAATGGCCTCGAGATCTACAAGACATTCCAGATTGAAACTTATTAACTTGATTTTGATGAACCAAAAACGGAGAGTAGAAGAGAGAAATGAAAGGGGACCTTGAAAGCACGAGAAGAAGAAGGAGTTTCAAGGGGTTGCGGGGCTCTGGTGTAAGGCGACGAATTCAACACCACGGCATGCATATTCAATCCAATCGATCTTCCTTCTCCCGATACGAAAGCAACGAGGGAAAACGATCGATGAAGAGATTGAGGAAATTGGAGGCTCAGATCAGAGAAGCGATAACGAGGAGTATGGGGGGAGAGCGGAGTGTGAAAAACGAGGGCAAATTTCAACAAAACAAAAAGACGCTCTCTTTTCTCAGTTTTTCGTGTGCTTCTTCCTCGCCCTTTGCCCTTCGCCGCCTTTGATACTTTCTTTTCTTCTTCTTCCTCCTCCGAGTATCCTGCCTCCCTGACCACTAAAACTTTTTTATTTTTATTTTTTTATTTTACAGATCATTTTTTACAGGGAAAATGGGATGGGTAGCAAATTTTTGTACATATTTAAAATATGTCACCTATGTTAATAAATCAGTAGAATATCATACACTTATATCAATAATATATTAAATATATATTACATACATATTACACAGACACTCATATCATTAGTACATCATATACATAGCAAGATACTCATATTAATAGTCAGATATATAAAAAATATATATCATTGGAAAAAGTTGTCATTTTAAAATTGGACTTCTATTTTTTTTCCAAAACAATCTATATTTGAAAAAAATTAAATATTGTTGCTACTTTGCTAATTTTACTGAATGTTTTTATCATATTTGTAACTGTCACATTTTTATATTTTTAAATCGTAAGATGATTTGCTATTCTAAGCTCAATCTCAACCAAATTTGACACTCATCTTTTTACCCCCATATTTTTCTTTCTATCATTTACAAATTTGAGTTTTCATTCTAAAAAGATGAAATTTTTTTTAATAATGCTTTAATTCAAACTTAATCCAAATATATATCAACCTTCAAACTATTTCCCAGAATAATACTCCAAATTCTTGAAAGAGAAGACCTATACCACTTCACAATTTCCGAGTTACATGGTGCTTCGTTGGCGCCATGTTTTTTTTTTATAATTCTGGCCATGTCATCTCTTTAAGAAACATGCCTAATTTGTAAAAAACTCACTTCGGTACAATGGTGATATGCTTGTTTTTTAATCTAGAGATCCGGGTTCAAGTCTCCATTATATCATTTTTTTTTATTCGGAGTGTTATAAAGTAAATAATTCTTTTCCGGTGCCTTAGAAATGAGAAAATAAATAATTTAGATTCCTATAGTATAAATAGCTTTTTTTTTTCCTTTTAATAGCTTTGTCGTGATATACGCAAAATTTCTTATATACTCAAACTTTTCAACTGACAAGCTAATTCATTTAACATGGGTTGGAATTCCATCACTTTGTTTAATATAAAAGTTGTATTTGCGTTAATTGATATTATATATAATTGTTTTCTAAAAAGAAGAAGAAAAAAAAAAGAGAAGGGAAAAGAAAAACAATAGGACATTACATCACAATTCACGACAAGGTAAACAGTAACAGTAACACACATTGGAAGTAGAACTTAGAAGCATGCAGGTGAGAAGGGAGAAGGGAAATTTAAGATTTGTAATTGAAGGAGTTGAAAGATGAATGGAGAGCATGAGGAGACCCCTTTCTCCTGAACAACAAATCTCCAACCAGTGGAATTATTGGTTTTCTCTTTCCAAAATACCCTCTCTTACTCTTACTCTTACTCTTACTCTGCTCTCCAAAGCTCAATATCTGAGCCAATGTGGGCGACTCCGCCTCCTCCATTCTCACCATCCCCTTCATTTCTTCCTTTCTCTCGCTTCCCATTGTAATTCTTCTCGTGGCTGCCGCAGCCGCCTCGGCCTCGGCCTCGGCCAACTTGGACATGTTCTTGTGTAGCTCTGCATTCAGCGATGCCAATGCTACTTCCGTATCCTCTTCCCTCTCCTTCAGCAACCTCAACTCTTCCTTCGTCTCCTCCAGCTCCGCTTCAAGTTTCTTCAGGGTCTCCACCACCACTTCATGTTCTCTCTCTTCTTTTACTGATCTCCTCCACTCCAACTGGACATTAGCACACGGTTTCGGTGACGACGAGTAAGCTTCTCCGGATCCGACAAGAAGCCGCTCCCCAAACACTGCAACGGCTTCTTTGACAGAGCGGAATGGGCGGGAGGTGTCGACGGTGGTGGCGGGGGGAGCAGGCGTTTCTGGGTCTTCCATGCTTGAGAGTAAGGGTGTGGGAACTGGGAAGATATGGTGTATTTGATGGTTGGTTAGGTGGGAGAATTGGTCTCTTTGCTTTAGCTTTAAAATTAAAGACGAGAGAGAGAGAGAGAGAGAGAGGAGGCTGTTGTTTCAAGGTTAAGACAAAAATGATCATCCCACATCATACTGTGATTGTATGGGAGAGATGGTGGTGGAAAATGACCACCCAACCGAAGCAGCTACATGTATATAATAAAGGCAGCTTATGCATAATATAAATCTCTCACCAGTAACAAATTATTGACGCTAACATGCATTATCCATATTCCAGTGGCAGAAAGCTTGCCCCTGAGGATTTATCTTTCCTTCGATACAATATCAATATCAATGCAGGATTTTGCAATGCATTATTCTTTCATTAAGCAGCAGCTGCTTTTCGTGATGTGAAATGCAGCATAGGTTGTAGTTGAATCTGCAAATATTTGATTTTCTGGTGGAGCAGGTCGGATGTCCACTGTAGCTTAAATGCAAATTATTACTTGCCTTGCCTTCCACATCACTTAACAACTACGAGTTTCCAGTGAATTGAAAACGGAACTGGTTAATTTGAAACAATCTCCTCATGCTCATGGAGCGACTTCTTGGTACAACATTAAAAGCTTAAATCAATCATGCTTCTAAATGGAGTAACCAGAGATCAATTTTATACTTCTTTTTAATAACAGAACTGATACATGAAGAGTTGGAAAAGAACAATAAAATACGATACTAGTTTCAGATTTCTTGTTTCCTAACAAACTACAGTAAATGTAATTCTAACCTTTTCTCCATTATTTTATTTCCATTGAACAGTAACTTACTATTATTACTACTTAATGACACGAAATTCTATCTTTTGCGTGATCCTCCAGGTGAGGCATTTTTATATCTCTTCCTAAAGAGTAACGAGAGAGCTGGGCGCACCATTGGCCAAGTTGTGACGATGGCAATGTAGGCGAGCAGCCAAATTGATTTCCCACTCTGGCGTGAAAGACTATCTATGCATTTCCTTATGGGAGTTGTAACATGTGTTGTATTATTCTCTTGGTACCGCTCTGATTGGTCATTCTTCCTAAAATGGTCAGCCTTTTCTTTGTCTGTGTCATTTGGACTAACATTTTCCGTTTGCTCGATTGCCAAGTCTTGCACACTGTCATCTGTTTGCTCCTCGTCACCTACAGCAGTCACCATTCCATCTTCCAAAACACTCACGTAAGGACCCTTGTCGATGGCAAAGCTCGGAGTAGGAGCTGTTGTCTGACTCTTTTGCATCTGCAACAAAGTATACGTTGTATGAGGTATATAGATATGAAGGCTTCTCATAAGTAAAATGTTCCAGTGGTTTTTTATCATATCATTTGAAGGGGAGGGATGGGAAAGCCAAAATTTTTCAAAACTGAAAGGGATTGCATCCCAACTCAAGAGAGCTCCTATCCCAACTCCAAGACGATGGGAAAATGTTGAAAGGTTAGGTGATCCTTTGTTCTGGAGAGCATCTAAAGTGGATGAGTCTAGGACGATAGGAAAATGTTGAAATGTCAGGGCTCTACTTATTAGATTGGATAATTTGATCATTCATGATTCATGAATTGTCTTTCAATGTACTTGAGCACTAAATGCTATAGATTTTATTATGGTCATGTTACCATACCTGCTTCATTACGCCGATGTATGGACTGGAATGCAGTACGCCAAGGAATTCATGAACAGCTCTCACCCACCTACAGGAAGTGATTTGACATGATCAGTTATAAATAGATGACCTTAAATCCAATTTCGCTAATGAAAGTTAGCTGCAAGATAAAATCTACTGAGACTTCTAAGTACTCGGTAATTCACTCATTTTCTTTGCAATTTTATGCTCAAGTACCCTGACCCACAATGAAAGCAAAAGATCAAAACTTCCATAATACGAAAAATATAATTGGTACCAAATTCCACATGAAAGTATGAGCTATCTAATCCTATAGTGGACATTTTCTGACAAATTCCACCAGCTTTGTTATCTAACACATTAGAATCCATGATCTCTTCTATAACAACTTAAACATGCTTCATAAATTAAGCAGAGTCTATCTTTAGTACTATGATAATAATTACTGCACAAAGATTTCAATTTCCCATTGCGATTTACAATGGGAGCACATGTATATTACCACAGGCTGCTGGCAGTTATTCCTTCATAGAAGGCTAGGTGTCCTCCACGCAGTGTCGTTGCTAGAACAACATTCCTATTTGCCCTGTAAATAATCAAACAACCAAGGTTATCCAAACTACAAAAAAGATAGGATTAGGTGAGTCGTAGCACTGAATTATACTCGGCCAGCTATAAAGGTGAGAAAACAAATAAACTAGAGGTTTGGAAACTATTTCAAGAAGAGTTTTCTTTATTTAGAAGAAAAAGTTGGTAAAAACATGTTTGAATAATTATGTTTTTTAAAAAGATTCTTCCAGTGTATTCTCACAAATGACTTATTTTTCAAAGAAAATCAAATTGTTATTCCTTCCAAATTGGCAAATTCTTATAATTCCAAAAGAACAGTAAGATTACCTTTTACAAGCCACTCAATACAATTTTCCATGACAGTTTTGAGAGGAAAAAAACAGAAAACGGTTTTCAAAATATTTTTTGGAACTCTTCTGGTAATGTTGGAAAGTACTGGACCTGCTATGTCAGAATGTAACGAAACAGCCTTTACAACTATTTGAGTGCTGTATAAAATCTTGGACTTATTTTAAGCAAAAAAAGTATTTTATCGAACCCTTTTCCTCGTTAAACCATCACATGCTGCAATATATTGATTTGGTTATGTAGGTAACCGCAAAACAAAACAAAAAATAATGTTCATACAGGCACTTTTTACACATTCACATTTGGGTAAGGGGATGTTTGGAAAATGACAAAAATCTAACGTCCGATACTGACAAAAAAGACATCCACTTAGGAAAAGTAAATAAAAAGGTGAAATAATAAAGCAACTGATGTCAAAAAAGCAACCGCACAAGCATGAACTAGCTAGGAATAAGTCCTACCTACACTCGTCCCATGGAATGGCTTCTTTTGTGCACAATGGATCGTCCAAAGCACTGATACAGAGAAGTGGCACTGCTACATTTCCTACACAGGTAGAACTAGTGGCGTGCCTGTAATATGCATCAACGGTCTGGGAAGGGAAAACATGTTTTAGCATTTACAGATATATGAAAACATAAAGGGCTATTTGGGTGTATTTTCTTAAAAGATGTTCTTAAAACAGTTTCAAAAGATATTTTTCGTTCATATATTTTTATTTATTTCTTCTACATATTAATTGAAAAATATAACAGACTTACAACAAATCGTACTTAAACATGGTTATTTAAAAATTGCACAAATATTATTTCTGTTTTATATTTTTTATGTTTTGAGAAGTGCCATTCAAAATTATCCTATCAAACCAGAATTCTGCATCAATTTATTGTTATTATTATTATTTAAAAAAAAAAAACCTATACTCAGACGTTACTTTTAAGTCCAAAACCAGCCCCAAAATAAGTGTGTGGGTTACCTCAAAATTTCCAAGGATGCGTGTAGCGTAGTGGTCAAAATCACGAACTGAACGTGACTGCCATGAAACAAGAAGAAAATATTGAGATATATATATATATATATATTTATAAGGAACTATAGTTAGATGCAAACAAACTTCAGACATACTATTGTAAGGATCTGTCCTAATTTCAATTTAGAATTCCTAAGAAATAAGAAGAGAATAGCAAGTCCTGAAGTTGAATCTAAGAAAGACTCACTTGCAGGCCCTCAAAAAATTACTCCGATCTAAGGGCATTGGATGGATAGCCAAGTAAACTATTTAGACCTACAGATAAGAGCTGTATGTATCAAGCGTTGATATAACTTTTCTTCCATTCTGTTATGAAATCAAATGTAACTTATAGTCTTGTATTCCTCACATGAGGACAGCCCAATATGTAGTTTTGTTAACATTGACTATTTTGAACTGCCTATAACCAAAGAAGAATAGATAGATATCTTAGTTGTGCATAAATTCCAGATAAAATCGAAGGGAAGCTCATGTTGAGACATCAACGAGGGTATCCAGCACAAGAGAATCATATCAAAGTTCACAAAGTTTCAGTTGCTTGACTTAAAAAACGTCCATGCCAAAATATGATGTAACAGAGCCAAGGACCTTCTTAATGGATTCCCACTCTGTAAGTTGAGACAAGTTGGATTGATGCCTGCAGCCAAATATAATTTGGTCATCACATAACAAACCCTAAAGTTGGAAAGATGCAAATGTTTTCTTAAGCTTAATAGTTAAAGCAGTAAAGGTCTCTAAGTATATGCCATTAAGTACCAAAAAAAAATCATATTAAGGTCATCAAACATGTTTAGACGTACAATAACGCAAAACCTTGTAAGCCATGCGCCAAAGCTTTATTATAAAAACTCTGAACAAGCCTGCGATTAATGAACCTGTCACATATCTACAGAAGGGAACGGCATGTGAATTGTGTTAGACCTTTAAAAACAGAATATAAGTTTGGGTTTGGGTCTTATAATGACAATGACATTGTGCCAAGTTTTAAACAAAAATTGAATCCTGAGAGAAAAGAGTGATACTTCAACTGTATTAAGTGACGACACTCATAGCTATAAAATTTATTGAATGATTCTAATATTTCATCTGCTTCACATGTATAGGAGGAAAAATAGAAACTAAACTGATATCAGCCCATCAGGTTTGCAGACTGTAATCGTCTAAACTTTGCTACAAACCAGAGAACAACTTCCTCACGAATTCTTCTTATAAAAGAGAGACGCATTTAAGTTAAAGAATGGAGGTGTGATGGGTATATCCGTTAAAACATCTTGAAATCAACTGAATAGTCTCTTTCTACACATGCTATATTACGGAGATCAGAGCGAGGGGAAAAAACATGCACCTGGTTTGAAGTTTCTACGGTAAGAAAGAAAACTATTCAGGATATCAAGGACTTTTAGGAAATTAAGATAAAAATGAAAGCCCAGAAAGTGGACTGGCAGGATGACTAAGATGGGTTCTACTATACCACCAAAATCACTAGGTTGTCCAAAAAATATTGGAAAAAATAACCTCTTAACGATGCTGTAAGTTGAAGATTCTTCACTCCATTTTGAACTCTAATGCATTAAAGCATCAATTAAGTCATACATGGTTATTCAGAACACAAATGGCATACTAACCAAAAGATCCCAAGGGGAGCAAATAGCAGCAGCACCGCAAATAGGGACATTAGCACCATCCTCTCCGAGGTATTTCACCTGAAGCAAGTAGTGGATGTTGGTAAAAAGAAATGCAACATTATGCATAAAACTAATTTTACCAACTTCTCCAAGATAAGCTAACATTGTATATCTATTAAGCAATCAATTCCCAACTATGTCCAATGAATCCTTTTTATGTTTACCAAAACCGTGAGCAGCACCTTCAGTAACCATAATTGAGATTATGGAATAATAAAAAAAATTAGATCAGATAAAAGTAATAATAATAAATAAAGATTGTTACACTACAATAATTTTTTTCCCGTTGATCCCAAAACCATTTCCCAGCTTCTTAAGCTACTGTAACCTTCATAAGCTTAGCAAAAAAGCACTTATGAGCTGATTCAAGGCCATCCTACTTTTCTACGTCTCCTGGCTTCCCCAAAACCATTTCTCAGCTTCTTAAGCTACTGTAACCTTCATAAGCTTAGCAAAAAAGCACTTATGAGCTGATTCAAGGCCATCCTACTTTTCTACGTCTCCTGGCTTCCCCACAAAATGCAATTCAGTCAAGAAACATGAATTAATAAAGTGCTTACATAGATAAATACTTATACCAGAACATTTGCGCCAATACTAGTTCCAACAACAAACAGAGGGGCGTCTGGATGTTGACTATGAATATGGCCAACCACTCTCCTAATATCCTCAGTCCATGCAGCATTATAGAGGCGTTCAGACTGGCCAATGAACAATGGGTACCAAGATTTCAGAGAAGTATCATATCACATATACAGACGTCCATAATAAATAATAATAATAAATCATCTGGAAAAGCATGTTAGTGTACAGAAAATAATGCGTCCCACAGTTCACTGGAATCCGTGCTACAAATTTCCTGAAGATGTCCTTTAGGTCAAAGGTACTCTTTCAGTTTTGTACCTCTATAGCAAGAGAGATTTTGTAATGTCAGATCCCCATTTTTCAGTAATACATATTTAGTCGCAAAATATGGAACTACATTAGACACATTGTACATTACAGCAAATTAATGTGTTCTATGTGGATTCTCTTTTATTCCCTGCACACTTTATCATATACAACTTTCTTACACGAGTCTTTTTACTTGTTTAAAACTTTAAACTCATCTTCTAAAAGTAATAACTTCATTTCATTCTTTTGTAATTTCCTTTGGTAATTTCCTTTGGCAGCCAGTAGGGAGCTCGTCCCAACTTGAACCTTTCATATAGTTTCAGCCAAAAGTTTTTGGTTTCTTTTTTTTGCTTTTCAAAATTCAAGAAGAATAAATGTGAATGCAATAATTGACATAAAACTTTCTAAATGTACTTATTAGCTGATTAGGCCAGGACTTGGTAAAAGATATCCACTTCAGCAAACATGATAAATTTAAGAAAGTGTGTCTATGATTCAAGAATTCTTTATCCATGCACATAAAAATATATATAAATAGAGGGGTTGAGTGATCTGGGAGGAGATTTGGTCCCTTCTTAGGTTTCATGTATCTCCCTAGGCTTTAGTGGATAAGGTTTTTTGTAATTGCCCTTAGTCTTATTTTGTTAGATTGGAGCCCCATTTTTGTCTTAGTTTGGCTCCTTTTGGGGGTTCTCTTTTTGTATGCCCCTTGTGTTCTTTCATTTTTCTCCATGGAAGAAAGGTTTCTCATAAAAAAAAATTATATACAAATGATGCAATCTAAAATGTTAAGGTCTGGAAAAATTTGCAAGAAATGCTGACTGGATGCATATTACAGAAAAAAACCATTGAATAGAGGTAAAATTACAAACCTCAACGGTGTGACTGGCCTACTTTTCAAATGATCCTCTTGTGTTTTAATAATGTTCTCAAACATTCACTTATACTCTTCTGTAAGTTCACTTCAATGGAATTGGTACACACGACTTATCTTACATATGTCACATTGTCATGTGTACCAATTCTATTAAATCTAATCGATAAAATGATATGATTTGCATACTTGCAAACTACATGAGTGTTCTAAATAATTTTTGAAACACAACGTATGATCAATATGCAGATCACATATTATAATTTGCAATTGTCTCTTAAATAAAATAAGTTGAAACTGATAGGAAATAGATGTGTTGTAATATTTTGATATAAGATTGAGCACCTCTATCTTGAGGTTAAATCCATGTCTACAGTGTAAAATTAATAGCAATCTTACAGTAAGTGATATGCCACCAAGACCACGATGATTGCTCACAACAACATTCCATCCGTGTTTTGCCATCCAAAATGCAAAATGCTTAATATACTGTGAAAATAATATACCTTCATGAGCCCGACAAAACAACCAGAAAATAGTTCATAAATAAAAGCTTAGATCAAATGCTGCAAAAATGTTTCATGATGTACACCCTTTTCTACACGTATATCTGAATTCCATATTTTATTTTCTTACTCCAAATATGAGTTGGTATTGCTGATGTAAAAAGGAAAAAAAAAATTTGTTGTGCATTATTATCATAGTTTCAATAATTCCTTTCAAATTCTTTTAAATATAAAATTCTATAATTAGAAAAGATCAAGTCTTGTTTCAATTCGGCATCACCATTCTCGTTTCTATTTTTGTAATATTTATTTATTTAATGAAATATTTTTCATAAAGTAAAATTTTAATCTCTTACCTTCAAGCGTTAAGGACATCAATCAAAATGTTAGATTAAACATTTCAGGAATTTATTGAAAACCAGCCTTTTATATATAACTACTGACAGTAGCCTTTTAAATGATGATGTATTTTCCTGTCTCCTGGGTTCTGATAGTGATAACTTTGATATGCACATGATTGTTACAGGAAAGACATGATAGTTTGATAACCATTCTATTCTTCACGTGGGAATATATGTTCTGTTCAGACTATAACTAGCATGAGTTGTAGAAAAAACCTATAGTGATAATAATTAAAATATCTCCAATGAAAGTCCTTCCATGTGTAAACATATACATCTGAGGAAGAAGAAGAAGAAGGAAGCAAAGAAACTTGATTGGGAAATTCAGGAAATAAGAATGAATGAAATTTGCAATACACCAGAGGAGAAGATGAAATATAACTTACGACTGCAGAAGAGTCACTGGTTAGTCCAGGAATGACTATAACGGTTGGTATTTTCTCATTGTCAGGAGTGCTAACATTCACACTATAGCCGTCCCATTTAACTGCATATGAGGGTAAAAATTAGGGAAGTATCCAATAACATATCCCTTCCATTACTGAAAAATTTTAATAGCTTTTATCACCCAATATGTGAAATTCAGCATGGATCACGTTGATTTTAACCAGTGACTTGATCCCACAGACAACTAATATTTAGTCCAGACTTTTGAAGTTTATGCCTTGGGCTCAATAAGGTAATGCACGAATTCTAGGCCTTATAGTTTATGCCTTCTTTTGTTTGTAAGAGGTTTATACGTATTCTTAAATAGACTTGCACCTTCATGAGAGCACACTAAGACTTAAAATTTTATGATTCGGGAGATGGCACGGCAAATAACATCAACTGCCTGCCTATTATTTATAAAAGTAAAAGCCCACTAATGTATGTAATACAAATTGATCAATGAACACAAAAGACTAGTGATAATGATAATGTTGCCAATAATATTTTTATCACTAAAGGTTTAGTAGAACACAAAACATTAGTGCTAATAATAATGTTTCCAATAACTTCGAAATCCATGATATAAGTGCCAATCAATGAAACATGAGATTCCTTTTTTCTTGTTTCTTCATACACTCATTATGTTTAAGTAATATATAGTTAATGAGATTCTTTTTTTTATTATTATTATTTGAATTGAGGTTTACACCACAAACCTCATTAACACTTGTGCCTCACCTCTCGAAGAGAAAAAGCCATTGAGCTACTTTTAGCCTTAATAAGCGTTGCACAAAAAGGTGGGCGAGAAGTTTAAAAATCATTGCAGCCAAACTTTTTAAGTGTTTGACACTGGAAAAATAAAAAAGCAAAACATGAATGAAGTATACAAAGTAACCGGTGGTATAAATTCTGTATTTACTTTATTAATGCGTGACCAATACTATTTCTATAGTAAGGGTCAAATTTTGGTAAGTTACAAGTTTTAGGAAAACTGGATTCATAAAGATAAATAAAATATACCCTTCCGCTTAAGATAACAAATGACATATCAAGAGCATCACAAGTAAATCTCCTTTTCATCATTCAGCAACATTACACACTTTCTTATCTTTGGTTCGTGGACAAATACACGATGCATCATTACTGATATCAGATACAAAAGACAAAATAGAGAAGGTAAAACGTTCTTAACTAATGAGGAAATTATCGAAACTTACCTTCAGAACTCCTAAGCCAATCCAAGGCAATTGTTCCACCATCAGGTACACGGAATAACTGTCTGGGGAAACAGCATAGGTCTAATTTAATAAAAGTGGACGTAAGGATTATTAGACGCTCATGATACAAGATTTTAGAATTGAATACTAGTGTAGAAAGTTTTAAAAAGCCCTCGTAGGAGAGAGCATTTTTTAAAGTTCAGGTATTTGTTCCATTTATATTCAAACTCCTGGAAAATCAGCACACATGTCAACAGCAAACAGCGGTTCATCTCATAATCTCGATGTGATTCATAGTTGCATGAATTAAGCAGATGCATGTTTGATGTTCGGCAAAAGTATTATCACTTATGTTTCATACTCGCATTCTTTTTTGCTTTGTTTATAAGCTGAAAACTATCCAGGAGGCAGAAAAAAATCAGGAATGCGAATTGTAAGATCAGAGCCGACCTTTTATAGGAAACAGGAGGAGGCCTGCCGAAAATGCTGAGGAAAATAGTCTGGAGATGAGGACTGGAAAGCCATGGAGTAGACAAGTACCTGGTCGGGGAGAGAAGACGAAGGAAATGAGAAAAACTTAAAATGGTTGAATGAACGAAGTGTGAATATGTGAATGAGAATTGAGAAATAACCTGCCGTGAAGAATCCGGCACTTGGAAACAACGGATTGATAGAAGTCGGGGTCGGAGGCAGTGATGGAAACGCGGTCGCCTCTGAATCCACGGATGAAGTCGTGAAGAAAATGAATCTCGAAGAAATTGTAGAGGAGAACGACGAAGATGATAAGGAGAGCAACGAGAAGGTGAGAGAGGGGAACGAGGGAGAGTGCATTGAAGAGAAGTTGATAGGGAGAAGCGGGAGAGAAGGTGACGGAGGAATCCATGGAAGCAAGCAGAGGTCTGGATTAGAGATGGACACGGAGAAAACAATAAACAAAGCAGAGATCTGCCCGTGTGTTTTGTGATTGTGTGTGTGACTGTGTGTTATAGACAAAGAAAATGATGGCAGAGCCCCGACGCGGAGGTGGACAAAAAGAACAAGGAAAGAAGGGGTTAATCCAATCTTGATTAACTGGTTGAATCTTTAATTAAGGGACTAATAATTATACTTACGTGCTCTGCTCCTGCTGTTTCAGTTTTTTAAGCTTTTTCCCCTTTTTGTCCTCCTTACCAGAATAATGGAAATCACTGAGTTTTACTACTCCGGAATTAGAATGACCCCTTTTTTTTATACTTGTACCCATGGACAAGAAGTACTTACATATGCACCTTGATTTCTTTTTCTCTCTTTTTTTGTTTCTCTTACTGAGTAACAATTTTTGTTCTAAACTTTCAATTTTGTCAAACTGGACCATAGGCTTATAAAAAAAAAAGTGTTGCAAATTTTAATTTAGCTCAATTTCCACTAATTTTTAAGGATGACCCCAACAAATCTAACCTAATTTACATAAAATATTACAACTAAATATATAGTGTAACCATTTTTTCTTTTTCTTTTTTTTTTAATTTGCATAGCAAGAAATATATTATATGGATGTCGATTATTACAAAATTAATTATGAGTAATAAAGGTGGGAACCTGAGCATAGCTAACCAAATGGTTGGATAACCAAGTATTTTGAAAAATGAGAATAATACCGAATAAAAATGATAGTAAATATACAACATTGATGGTTTTAGGAAGAGCAGCGATGTTAATGTTTTTCAGTAGTAATATGGTAATGTGAGATTAGTGGGAAGTTGAAGTTGAAGTGGAAGGATGGATGGGATCGTATGACGTATATTATCAATTATAGATACCTGAATTCACGCCCATCATCATTCATACCGCCATCCATGTGGGAAACTGGGAAGCCGAATCCCCACATGCCACTCTGCTTTCGACCCATCATCAATCATTACTTCACCACCCCACAACACACACATATACTACAACTGTTGCCATTCATTTTACAATATCAATCAAAATTACAACTGCATTGGTCTGGTTACCCATACGTTTTCTTTGTTGATATCTACATTCTACACTCCACATTATGTCTTTCTGTACATTAACAACCCAATACAATACAAAAACCATCCTCTTGTCATGACCCCCTTCCCCCCACCCCACAAGAAAGAAAAAAGATCCCGTCCATCCAGCGCATCAGTCAGCCCAACATTCCATCCACAACTTTGATACTACCCAGAAACATAGCTTCACAAATCATAACTTTCTTGGCAACGCAACGATGATTTCTGAGATCGTCGTGGATGGCCCATCAAGGAATAGAAAACTGCCACCTTCCTCAACCTGATGATATGGCAACAAAAACGTCATCAAGTGACCATTTCCTCTGCTCCGATTTCTGCGGTGGATTAATAATGGCATGCTCCGAACTGGCAAGCCGATAACCTATCACTATTTCTCGCCTCTGTCGCCCTCTAATCATTATGTCGTAAAAACAGAGCTCTTCCTGGTCAACTAAGTAAAATTCAGCCGGTCTAATACACATTTCATTCCCCTGCAATCAATAAAACCCATCTCTCAAATCTACAAAGCCATTACAACATATGACTCAAGTTCCCTATGATGTTCAACTACAACAGTAATCATTTCTGTTACTTTCTTAAACTTGCATTAGATACAACAAATACCTCTTCCGCAAATAGTTCCTCCAGAACACGATTAATCTGCTGGTCCTCCGCCACCATAGCTAGTGCCATACTCACCAATTCATTAGACAACACATAATCACTGATTCTAGAAACTGATACCAGGTTTCTGGTCCTAGAATCCAGGATTTCACTAATTATTATTGACCTGTCTGATGCTTGCTGCATTTCTCGAATCCACGAGTGGTGAGAAAATCCAGCAAGCCGCCAAGATGTTGAATTTAACTTCATATCTTTGTTCGGAAGCCTCTTTGACTGCAATATGACAAAGGGTGGCAACCTTTAACTTTATATATATTCCAGCAAGTCCAACACAAAGTTTCAAGTCAACTTAACAGATACCAACTCATGTTCCAAGATTAATTGTTTCGTTTGTTTCATAGCGTGCTTCAGGAAAATTTTATAGTTACCTGTATATCTCTAATAAGGAGAAGAGTGGCAAGAGAACGTGAATCTGAATGCACAACAGAGTCCTCTAAGGATTCATCCGCAAGAATTAGTATCTGTTTCATATAGTTTCAGTGATCAGAATGCTGAAGTCGAAGAATCTTATAACTTTGAAATGGTGGTAGTTGGATCAGAGATGCAAAGATAAACTATGTATGAAAATAGTAACATAACTTACAGAATCAAAAGTTTCCAGCGGAAGTGACTCTAAATGTCTTCTAATGACAGCATTTCCCTCACGATGGATAATTTTAATATTTACTAGACTAGAAATATCAAGTCCACCATCAATAAGCTTTTTTTCCCTCTCTCTTTCAGGAACTTCATTAAACATCCACAGCTCTGAACCAAGAGCGAGGATTGCCTCCAAAACCTGAGAAGGGGAAAAGTATATTCCATACGGTGAGACTTCAATAAGTAATTCCTCTATCATAGACTCATAGTTGAACACACCTATTCTTCAGGATACCAAATCAGAGATGGAAGTTCATAAGCAATATACCATAATCATATCATCTATATCACGGCGCCAACCACAAAACAGTATCTTTTCAGGATATTTTGGAGGGTCGATAATCTTTTGGAAGAATCCCCTGCGCACCTGAAGAGTAAGCGCCAAACAATTGAGCAAGAAAGCTTAGATAACAACATTGTTGCAAATCATACAATTAATTAAGATGGAGGCATTAATTTTTTACTTCTTTTAGGTTCAAGCTGAAGTAGTATCATTGTCTTCTCTAGTGAGCTCAGTAACATTCAAGTATTTCAAGTCAAAAGATTTATTTTCAGCAATTACTAGACACGGACCTTGTTAACTATGTACACAAAGACAGAAAACCCCAACGACCACCAACTGTTTAGATCATTAGAAGTAGGTATTGAATATTTCCAATTATCAATTAGAATAATTCAACAATTTCTATTTGAATAATTACGTATAACAATTATAATCGTAACTCCTTTAAAACACCTCTTTTCTAAAATAGAATAGGAAGTATCCAACTGTTTAAGCAAGCAACTTTTGGTTTTGGTAGTCAGCAGGGTGGTGGTACTACTATCTGCGAGGATTAATGGATCTCCACATAGAGGCTTCCTACAGATTATGAATGGATTAATAACAGAATTGGGAAAGTCAAGCCATAAATATTGGGTATTATTATCTAGACTACATACTTTCTTATTTTATGGTCAAAATGGATACAGGATCAATGACATTAAGTTATAATTGAAGGATAACCTCAGGAATGGGACCAGGAGCATAAGTATCATCATCCTCAGCAATAACAAGGACTTCATCCCCCTCCTTTAGAATGTAGTTATCATCTGGATTTAAGATTATCTTCCCACAGTCTGCAGCAACCTTAATTCCACAAGGAATCGCATCAGGAAATGAAATTAGTACAGCTCCAAATCGTTGTCCATCTAACTGATGCCATCTTTGGATGTAAAACTCTGAATTCTCAAACCCCAAGATATCTTCCCATATCTGACCAAGTACAGAAAGAGAAAATATAAACATGCCTATTTATTTGATTAAGACTAATGGAAGCTGAAAGGACGTGACTCAACATGAAAATGGTTAAACACACACAAAGAGTGAGAGAGAGGTAAAATAATAAAATGAAGGATAAAGTACAATTACGATAGGATTAGGTTGGTTACTACATATTATTGGGAGTTCATTAGGGAAGTGGTGGTTATGAATATGAGTGAGTTTGGGGATTAGAGAGAGGTACGAAAATACTAGGCGAAAAGTGTGGGAGAGAGGTAGTTATCTCAAAAGGCTATTATCCTTTGTATTTCTTTCTGCCAAGAGCGAACAAACCAACCTTTATTTCCTTCCTTTTCCACTTTAGTTTCTGAGAATGGTCCAATTTGGGGGGTGGGGTGTTAGAGGATGCAGATCAACGGAGGACTTAGATTTAGAAAAAGAACAACTTGAAACATGAATCTATGGTACTTCGACAAGATAAAAGTGATAGAGCCTGTAAATTTTGACAATGATCCACCATTTTTATTTGGTGGATAAATGATAATCTCGATAACACAAATGAAAGAGCATATACTAAAAAGCACATCTTGTATAACCTGTGCAAGTCCCGGTTGCAGAGCACATTGTATCATTAAGCGTCCAATTACATCATGAGCAACAACTGTTTCAATAACTTCACCTCCAACAAGCTTTACCAGAGGTTCATTGTCGAGGTCGCTCATCTCTACAACTACATGGCCCCTCAAACCTTCCTTCACTCCAGTAAGGCTGAGCACAACCCTCAAAGCACGTGCATCACTCTGGAAAGAAGGATACTTGGTGATATATCTACTGATTTACAAAAGATGAATCAAGCATTAAAATTATACAACGTTAGAAATACAAAACCTGATCTGCATTCTCATCGGTTGCCAATACAATAATAGCACGTGCCTTAGACACGGAGACCTGTGAAGTTATAATGATTACCATATGAATTACCATTAAGATTACCAAAAGAACTATAAAGTCTACGAGCAGAATAGTATTTACCTTCTTCAAGTCGGCAAGTATAAGAGGACTGCCACTCCTACAAATGACAGACGTCCCCATGAAATCAAATTCTAGCTTTGCTATATCCATCTCCATTTCCTCCTTATCTCTTTCTGCCAGAACAACAACTACCCCTCCACCAATACTCTTATTTGCAATTGCTAATTGCTTCAAGAGTGAACCCTAAAACAAGATACCAAATCTTCCATGATTTCTTGATAATCTATGAGTAAGTGAACATTCGTTTTTCACACAAATGCATATTAAATGAACCAAAATTTAAATGATGATTGAACACTCCAAATGAAAATAAAAATTAATTGCTTGCATCTAATTGTTAGAAAATACAACATATATGGGAATAGAGAACAAAACAACCAAAATGAAGAATGTAATTTTACATCAATATCTACCAGTGGCAGTGACACAGCTTGAGCTAAGGGAGGTATCAACTTCTAATACACAATTAACTTACCAATTTATCACTCCACCCGAGAATGAGAATATGGTTTCTTTCAATGACTTCACTTTTCCCTTTCCGCAATGAGTCGACCTTCTCTGAAATAGCGTCAGAAACAAGCCCAAGCATCATCGCAAAAATTAGCATACCTCCTGCACTTATAGAGACAGAAACAATCCTGGGCCCGATGCCAACCCTGTCAGCATGATTTCCTGAGTCGGCCACAAAAGTCCATGAAAGCCAGAGAGCTTCAGCAAAGTTACCATCACTGACAGCATATAATGCCAATCCACCAAATCCTATAAGAAATACTGTGGCAAAGAGAAGTGCAAGCAGCTTTGCATAAGGATAGATGGAGAAACACACATCGACCACATATGCAATTCTCTTGTTTAGAGGAACCTCGTCCTTGCTATTTCGAGTTCTTTCTGAAAAGTTCTTAATCCGGGGAAGGTAGTTGAGATACTTGTACAATAGAAAAGGCATAAGAAGTGTGCACACTACAGTATACAGAGCTACAGATCGACTATCGGCATTAAAAATATTAAATAATGAGATGTTATCTTCTGGTACTGAAATTCCCCAGGTGGCATTAATAACATTTTTATCACTACAGAGTTGATGAAGGTCAGATTTCTCTTCCTGCAAGAATGTACAATGAATTACAAAAAATTGGTACATATATGGAAAGCGAAAATATAGCATTAATACCTCAAGTTTCGTAACTTTCTTCTGTAGACAAACTGCATAGGATCCAATGGACATACAAGCGATAATGAGCTGCAAAAATCATTTTTACCATGACATCATTAATTTCAGAATTTTTTTTTTAAAGAAACTTAAAAACTAAGGGCGAGAGTGAAAATAACCCTTCCTACAAACTAGACAAGAGTAGCTTTCCAATCTTCGACAATCATAAAGAGACTATAATTACAAGAGAAATTTTTGTGGTTTGTAGCCCACCAAGAAGAACACACTTGATCCTCGAAGAGGGTGTTCACACATTCAAGAAAGTTTTGTTATTTGATTAAAAAATTGTACATTTACTACTTATTACATGTTTGTCTCTCTAAGTGAAAACATATATGCTTAAATTCATTTATACACGCACACATAAATACAATAAAAATATACACACACACATTAAAACATAATCGAAAGGAATGCACACATTCGACTCATTTTCAAAGCCCAAGGAAACCTTTATTTCCAAGTTCTGACTTTCTTTTTTCTTTTAAACACTGGGTGGAAGCACTGTACTTGGGAGTTCATTCAGTATAGTTTTATGCAATTGAATTATCTAAAAGCGGTACTTTATAGGATGAAAGCATGGTGCGGAGACTCTGCCTTTCCTACGCCGGTTAATATTTAAATTAATCGCAATTAATTAATAAACGATGCAAAACGTTTTGGAAAAGGTGAATTAAAGACAAGAACCCCAGTTCATGTAAAGTTAAAAAAAAAAAAAAAAGAGGTGTGAAAATAGAGATTTAGACCAGTAATTCCGTTTTCTCGAACTTGAGGAAACTGAATTGAGGTAAGAACCACCTAAAAAAAGTGAAAATTGAAACACAATGACTATGAGAAAATTGAAACACTAACCAAATAGTGCATTAAAGAATGGGTAGATTCCCAAGATCTCCTGATAGTGGAGTGAGAAACGGAATCTGGCCTGGCAATCAGCTTGGCCTGCTTGTCTTGCTTCTTCGATTGTTGCGCCTTTGGTGGAGCTCCTGTCGCGGGTGAGTGTGGCACAGCCGTAGGCTTGAGCCGAGTGGAATCAGAGACGAGGGAAAGGCGGCGATTGGAGTGCTTGGCCGGGTTGAGAGTGAGTCTGGGCTTGGAAGCATAGGGGCCGAGGCAGGAGGGGAAAATATAATCCCGGTTGAAGAATTCGGCGTTGTTAGGGCCATTATCGAAGGAGAGGCGAAGATCAGCGGGTTGACGGAAAGAAGAAGAAGCAGAGAGTGGGGCTGTGGCGGCGGGGAAGTGAGGAGTCTGGGAAGAATCGAGGGAGATGGTCTTGGATCTCTTAAGGAGTGGTGGGGAGTCGGGTTTGGTAGGGCTCGCATTGACATTGGCATTGACATGTGGGCGTGGTGCGACTGTAAGAGTGGAATCATCATTGTTGTCGCTTGCCATTTACAAATTACAGCGAGAGGGAGTGGAGCAAAAACAAAACAGCGTATCTCCCTCCCGGCATCGGCATCGCCATTTCAGGTCATGGATATATATATATATGTATGTATAAGATTGTGCTGTGCTGTGCTTTTTGAGCTTGGAGCTTGGAACGGAAGTGGCAAGTGGGGGTCGGGTCGATCTGGGCCGTAGAGGAGCTGACGTGGAAGGCATGATCGGATCAGATGGGGAATGTCAGGGACCGGGTCCACCTCTTACTTTATCTCATGTCACTTCTTCAGCTTCAGTTTCCACCAAAACCAATCCTGGGACTTCTTCTGTTTTTTCACAACTTTTTCTTCTTCACTCTCGTTTTCTTCTGGTTAAAAAAAAAAATTAAGTGAAAATTCGGCTTGCTGTACCTGTGCGTGTGCGTGTGCGATGGTAACCGTAAATTGAATTCTACGTAGGCAGTTATTTACCTGAACTCAACCCGGCGGCGGCGGAAAAGCTCCGTTTGACGTAAGCCATGTGCAAAAGTTGCAACGCATGTGGCACGGAAAGGTAATTAGGCTGCGCAGGCTTTTTGACCTCTATCTTTCTTATTTCATCTTGGGCTTGGGCTAGACGAATGAGTTGGGCTTTGTCCAAGGTGGAGAAGCCCAATAAGATTGCAATCCAACTGATTAATTTCTTGGTTGCTCGCAGGCACGGTACGATGATTCATTCAATCTCTCCTCTCTCTTTTCATTAGTTCGCATGCTTGGTCAGTTGGTCTTGGTTGATTCTTTTCTGTTGTTTTCCGTTTTTGATGTGCTGCTTTCCTACCGTGATTCCGATACCGTTTCCCGCAAAATTCCGTTTGCTCGGCTACTGTTAAATGAAATCTCCCGGTTCTAATCTTCTATACCTTTTTAATTTTTAGTTTCATTCTAGGGTTTTACTGAATCTCTTGGGTTGGCGCCAATTTGCTTTCCCTCTATTTTTGTTACTTTCTTCCCACGACCAACAGCATCGTTCGTATCTTTCGAGAATTTCCCCCAAAAATCTCATCTTTATCATATTATTCGTAAATGAAGGCTATTCCTGTTTTGGTGGATCACTCCCGTTTCTCTTTTTCGTTACAGTGGCCTGGTGAATTGGCCATTGCCTTTTGAAGATTTTGGTTCAAGTTACGCAGTGCCAGATAAATAAGGTCAACTATTTTTGGGCTGAAGGATGAAGCGTAAACGAGGGAACAAGAAAAGCAAGCGTAAAGGAGTAGGAGGGGGTATTGAAGGAGCTGGAAAGGAAGCGGCCTCTTTAGTTACCGAAGATAATTCGGGTTTGGAGGAGTTCGATAATGACAACAAGTCTGACTCTGCAATGGATGTCGAAGTCGACACGCCTTCGTCAACGGGAACTGACCATCTCAATGTTGCAAATGTTAATCCTGATGATTCGATTGACAAGGCTGCAGGGAAATCATCAGTTGGACGTGTTAAAGTGAAGCTCAGGACGTCAAAAATGATGGACGCTCAGATTAATTCTTCCGATGCGCCAACTCAAAGTGATACTGATAAGAGCAGTCTGCAAATGGGCTTAGAAAAGCATAGCGTGGTTTCCGACAAAATGGAAGATAGTGCCAACTCATTGCCCGAAAAGGAATCTGCTTTTTCTGGGACAGCATCCAAAAAAATTGGAAGCATAAAGATCAAGTCTTCCAAGAGCTTCGGAGCAGGTAATAATTCGACAAGTAATGCATCAAAGGCACAGGCTGGTAATCGGATGCCTCAACAGGATTCTCGACCTAATAAAACAGAGTTGGATACTGCTCTCACGGTATGTGGTCCTTACAGAAGCTTTCTTCGTCTTTTCTTTTTTCTTTTCCCTTTTTAATTAAGAAACTCAATTTCAATGTCGAGAAGAGTAGGTACAAATAGGATAGATTAACTATCCACTTGAAGGACCAAATGAGCTTATGCAAATAGCTCCAAGAACATGTAGAAAGAAAAACTGTAGGTACAAAAAACATGTTAAAGTGTACACCTTGTAGAAGGCAGCCATCTGTTGTACTAAAGCCTGCTTAATGCATATCTTATAACGATCCTTGCTCATATTCAGGTCATAAAGAAGGTAATGAAAATGGATGCAGCTGAGCCATTTAATGTCCCGGTGAATCCCGTTGCTTTGGGGATACCTGTAAGTATGCATTGCTATATTTTTAGTGCTAATTGGATCAGTTTTGTAATTGCATATGTTTGTGTTACTACTGCCATACTGCTTTACAAATCTTTTTTACATTCTTGTCAATCTTTACGTGGGTAGGTCAGTGGACTGGAGCTATGGCTGTGTAATTATAAGCACTTTTTCACAGAGGTTCTAGCTTGCAAATAGTGATACTTTTCTGAATGTTTTTTCTCCCTAAATTGCAACTATTAAATCAAATAAATAGCTTGACTGCCTTGGAAATTTCTGGATTGATGAGTTCTCGCTGCACACTTAGCTGCAGTGGAAAAAGTATGGTAGGGAAGATTAGGATAAGGAACTCCACACTCCACAGGTCTCTAGTTTTCCAAGTTTTGCATATTGACCCAAGTTATATTAGTGGATAGCTAAGCTAACCATTCTCTGCTATGGTCGACATCATTTATAGCTTGAATGGCTGTTTATATTGCAATTTTATGCATTTACATTTGACTGGTCGCTTGTATTTGTTCTGGCATCATCTAAATAATTTATATCCTCTTTATATTTTGTTGAAGAAAAAATTTTACTCTGCAACCATGCATATTATTTTATCGCAAGTGTTGTTCCCCTTCTTTATTCTCTTTAAAGAATTTTTTTCGGTTCTAGGATTATTTTGATGTGATAGATACACCAATGGATTTTGGGACGATATGCAGCAATCTTGAGAATGGTGATAAGTATATGAATTCAGAGGATGTTTTCAAGGATGTGCAATACATCTGGGAGAACTGCTACAGGTATAATAATAAAGGTGACTACATCTTGGATCTTATGAGGAGGGTGAAGAAAAACTTCTCGAAATATTGGACTGCTGCTGGATTGTACAATGGGCAAGGTACAGCAACCAATGGTGAGAGTTTGGTCATCGTATTGGGGTCATGTCATTGATTGGTATTGAACTAAAATTACTACACTCCTTAGCTCTTGCTGACTAGGTGGAAGTGAATTTATTATTTTGTATTTTTGGTGATAAAATGAACTTTTCATATGTATAAATGATTTTGCATTCTTTTGGCACAGATATGACTTCCTGCAGAGATATGTATCCATGTAAAAATGTGTGTTGTCAATTAGCATCAGAAACGGTTCTGACTCCTGATTTTTCCCCTTTTAATGCATTGTCTTTTTTGTACAAGAATATTTATGTCTAAAAT